ATGTCTAATGATCATTTTTGACGGCCAAATGGCATTTTTTTACTTTTTACTAGATCTCTGAAACCGCTAGACCTGCCTTCATGAAAATTTAATCAGTTGTTCATCTTATCAATAGAAGTAAAATGTTTTTTCAATTACTAAAATCTGACATTCCGTTCTCTTAAAACCTGAGTTACCGCTTGTAGGACTTTTGGCATCTTCGAAACGGCTAAACCTGCCTATGCCAAGAACTAATCAGCACCTGTTATCAACAGCAATCGAATGTTTTTTGAATAATTGAAATCGGTTGAACCGTGTTCCCGTAATCGTCGACGAAAATTTGTATCCGCACACACACACGCACATATACACACACATACATCCATTTTTCTAAGGCATGCCAAAATATTTAGAAACCTCTGAAACGTAATAAAAAATTTTTTCATTTTCGATTTTTTGCGATTACTACAACTTACCCTAAGTTAAAATATCTTCTGAAGATTTATATCATAGTAAATGTTATATTTAAAATTTCGTTTTAACAGTCTGCTCAAAATCTGCTTCAAAAACAAAAAAGCCATTAAAAGAAAATCATTATGCATTTACTTACTAAAGCAATGTTTTCCCAGTGGATTTGCAAAAACTCGTCTCGATCAGACCGATTTTGTTCATGATAAAAACCTATGGAATGGCCCAATTCGTGAACGGCCGTTCCCACATTGTGGCAGCCGCGCCCCAATGATACGGGCTGCTCGCCAGATGTAACTCCTACGTGAGCGTAACAGCCGCCACTAAAAAATTGAGAGATCAATTAATCACCTTTACGTGAAATGATCTATTTGAACACTATTTTAAATTGATATATTGAATATCTCTTTCATAAAGATATTTTTTAAAGCAGATTTTAATGTAGAAAATGTTGGCGCTTAAAAAGTAATATAAACCTATAAAATATCCCATAAGTAATACTGTAAATGATATTATTAGTTGTTAGATAGGAGTATGGGATTTATACAGGGTTTCTAAAACTTCACGCCAAGCCGAAACGGGGTGTTAGTATTAGTTGATATACCTTAACCGTGAAAAAATTAAAAAAAACTCACATTGTCTGATAGCTATGAGCTAGTGATGGGCTGAATCGACGAACGGTTATTTTCAACCGTTTCTTGTTCGTTAACGAACTAACCGTTTCGTCGCAACGAAATAACTAGTTGAAAATCAACTGGTTTCGAAATAGTTGAAAACATGGCGACCAGTTAGTTATTCAACGTACGCAGGTACCTAGAACCTAGGTCTGAAGTCAGAAAGGATCAACTAATACTATGAAAATCGCTTATTGTTAGGCTACTGCTTTTATAATATTGCAGATGTACGGGTACATATTAAAAGAAACTTGCAACATGCGCTAAATTTTTTAATTTTAGAAAATCAATTACATTTATTCAATGGTTAATGTTTTTTCATAAAATTCTCATAACATTTGTTTTGTAATAATGTTTTTAAACCAAACCTGAAAATTGATTTTTTATTTTTCATAACATTTTTATGTAACTATATATTTTTATATTGCTATTTTTATATAACATGTAAATTCGATGTTGTAGTATATGGCTTCGCTGTAACGAAAATATATTAAACCTTAGTATTAATAATAATAAATGTGATATATATATATATATATATATATATATATATATATATATATATGAGTGAGTTCTTGAGGGCGATACATCAAACAAAGAGTATCGCCCTCAAGAACTCACTCATATATTTCAACATCAAATTAACTACTAAATCATATATATATATATATATATATATATATATATATATATATATAATGTGACAATTCACATTTATTTCTTTTTATTCATCAAATCAGTTCACAAACTCAACTTGACTTTTATAATAACAAACTTCATATTACCAACTTTCAATGAAACACGATTGCCCCAAGTTTTCAAGAATTAAGACATTTCATATAACTATGAATATAAAACCTTGAGAGGCCCATCCTTAAAAAATGTCCTAAAGTCTGTAAGTAAGTTTCATCAAAAGCTGGCGCAGGGTTGTAAAATAGTAGAATACTTGATAATATTATAATAGAAAAAATTCGAGTAAAAAATAGAAACCTAAAAATAATAAAAATAAACATAAATATAATTTTACAATCCTGATTAAATGCTACAACTTATGATAAAAGTTTCCAAAACACATTAGTACATATTTTTAAAGAAAGGCATCCATTCTCAAAATCGACCGATTTTTTTAAATTTATAGTTCAACAAAAAGTCTTAATTCTTTAAAACTTGAGACAATTGTGTTATTATATTTATATAATTATACTGCGGCCCTAGAAATGTAACTCACGGTTACGGTTTCAGAGTTTAAAAAAAAAAACTTAATGAAAATTAAACACAATAACCGAACAATGGTCATAATTTCTTTAAAGCTCTTTAGGTTGCACTTAAAAGCTCGATATTTCCAAACAATGAGCTATTTTTTAAATATTTTTCAAGACAATTAAGGTCAATATTAAAAACCAGTTTTGACTATAGTTTCAGCGCTGTATACGTATTTAATATTTTATTTCCTTTATTTAATTGTTTTTTATTTATTTGTATGTTTGATTTTGTACAGTATTTTATTAACAAACTACAAAGTTCAAGACATTATCTCTGTTGTAAATATATAAACATACACATTCACTTACATGCGATTCTAATACATATTTTCCTAAGTAATACAAAATTTTTGAAAAAAAAAATCAATTCGATATTTTATTTAAGGGGGTATTCTACTGTAGAAGCATGAATTTTGCCCGGTTTTTAAAGCGCTGTATAAAGAAAACAAATGATATTTTTACTATCGATTTTTTTATCATTTGTTTATTGATATTTTATTATTCCATAAAAAAAATTATTAAAGAAAAAAAATTAGAATTTACAAAGTTATGAGCAGTCAAAGTGGGAGCTCAAAAAAAAAGAGGGTGTCCTGGCGTGCATGATTCCAACCCTCCTGGTGATCCGAAACATAAAAAAAAGATGGATTCTTAATTATTATAGATGTCGCTATCGTATGAACCTTGGATAAGCCAAAAAAAACTTTTTGTTTGAATGGCGGCAGTTTGAAAAAAAAAATTTTTTTTCATGTTTTTTTTAACAATTCCGAATTTTTTAAAAATACTTAATGAAAAGTTATAGTTTTGGTAGAGGTCCATGCGATAAAGCAATGTATAGAGAAGATCCTCTCCAAATTTGAAGTAAATCGGTTCATTAGAACTCGAGATATCCTTACCGCCAGCTCGAAAAAAGTAGTTCCGAGAAAAACGCGTTCAAAGTTTTGAGACTCGGTCGGACCCGAACCGAGACCACGTCACTAAAGCGGCTATAACTCAGGAAATAATAGTAATTTTGAAAAATCCTTTTAATGACATATTTTTGAATAACTAAACTTTGAAAATATGAAAAAAAAATGTTTCGACTTTTTCAAAATTCTACAGTAGAATACCCCCTTAACATGTTAATCGCCATGTCAGTCATATTTGTCACACGCTAAGAAATCCTACTTGTTTAATTGTTAATATTATAAAAATGGCACATATTTTTTTAAATACGTGAGATTATAATATAATAATAATTTATAGTAACATTTAGTTTTTGGGAACTTGATAGATAGTAACAGTTTTTTTTAATAAGTTATTTTATAAAAGAAATATGAATTTTATGATAATCTTACCCATTGAATATTCGCAAATAGTTTTGCTGGTTGGTTCTTGGAATAAATCTGATGCATGTGTAATAATGATATTGCTCTATGGCTTGCCTTACAATGTATTCCACACTACCTGAAATTAAGTACATATTTATTAAAAACAATTAAACAAAACTAATTAGTACATTATTTAAAAATATCTTAGAAAAATCTTAAATTTAAATATTCTTATAAGTTTAAATTTTAAATATTCAAATAAATTTATGAAGAAAATTTTAAAATAATTCAATAAGTTATATATATTATAATTAATATTATTTCTAAACATTTATATATGGTGGTCAATTTTCAGATAAAATAGAAATTTTACAGTAATGCTATGTTACGGATCTATCTTCGTATGAGTTAGTAGTGACAAGCTGTCAAAGAGTTGTGTATTTGCTGTGCGATCAGGTATTTTACATATAAAATCTAATCTATAAAACTCACTAACGTTAACTAGCAATTTTATTATAAGTGCAAATTTTTGATGACTCCTTGATAACACATACATGGAGTTAGGTTTTATGAATGAGGGGTAATTAAAACATATTTTATCATTTATATGGACGACTTAACTCTGTATAAGGAAAATGAAGCTATAACTAAATTATTTTTTTTCCAACAAATGCATTATTATAGATATAGTATGGGAAATACTCAAGAAAAAAGTCAGATTTCAAATGGATTAAATGAATGAAATCATTCGAAAGCCATTCGATTCGCATTGACAGTAATAATAGGAAATCCGCTTTTGGTAAAGACTGATACGGTTTGAAATGAGAAATTGATTGAATTTAATGACCGTTCGTAAAATCAGTTTAACACTTTTTGTAGGATTTGTGCCGATAATGACTTTATCGGAATAATAGAACCGTAACTTTATTTAAATTTAGAAAATTTAAAAATTGATAATGACGAATAAAGTCTATACTCTATTAAACCAAAAATTTATAAATCCTAATACTGATAAAATATAATTTCCAAATTTAATTATTAAAACTAAGAATTTTGTTTTTAGTTTCAACAGTAATCAGAACAATTTCAAGTAAAAAAAATATGAATTGAGACAATTCTAATAGTGATGTAAATAATAAAAGTTTTAAAAAGTTCTTGAGGTTTATCAATCCATATTTGTTTATTTTCATCGCAAAAGCAATTTTTTTAAAATTATGCTTTTACTTTTTAATATCTTCAAAACAAATTTTAACTACAACACTCAATTTTAATTAGTGGTAAATATTAGTTAATGCAAAAGGGGTGTACAATAATTACAATGATGAATTTTTAAGGATTTGTGGACACCTCCTTCCCTTCTTCTCTTACGCCACTTCACGTGCATTTTCAGTACTTAAAATAGTTAAAATAACAACAAATTTTTGGATTTTTATTAAAATTTTTTGGAAAATGATATCTTACTAAATTTTCCCTTCCTACGTGATATTTTGTGATTTTTTTTTAAACTTCTCCCCACTTTTTAGGCCTCAAGTGTAGCCTCTACTGTATTTTATTATAAATCAAAATTAGTAAAGGCCAAAACTTTTATTTTGAACTATTCAGTGATAGGCCACATTTTGTTTTAAACCAATTTTCAATACAACATCCCAATTTTATTTAGCGGTGAATAATTAGGTAATAACTAGTGGGGTGCATGGCATCGTGCCTTAAGGCAAATTTCTGGAACTACCCATACCGTAATTAAAAATCTTGGTACGGAATCCAAAAAAAATTATACAAAATGTGTACACATTATTAAAATCTATATAAAATATCTATTATCTAATATTTTTGACCGCAAAATGATTTTTTTTAACTTATTTTGATTGGGAGTCCATAACCGCTGGACCTGCTTTCCCAAAAATTTAACCAGTTTTTCATCTTGTCAATGCAAGTAAAATGTTTCTTGAATTATTAACCTCGGACGCTCCGTTCTCGTAAAAACTGATTTACCGTTTTTGGCACCTTTTGTGCCGTATCTTCGAAACGGTTAGACCTGCCTTTGCCAAAAACTAATCAGCATGTCTCCTTATCAATACGAATCGAATGATTTTTGAATTATTCAAATCGGTTGATCGGTGTTCCGGAAATCGTCGACAAAAATTTGTATCTGCACACACACATATATCCATTTTTTCTAAGGTATGTCAAAATGTTCAAAAACCTTTGAAACGTAGAGATATATAAAAATTTTCATTTTCGATTTTTTTGCGATTACTATAACTTACCTTATGGGAAGTTAATAAGAATATTTCAAACTTAGCAAAGAGTTTTTTTAATTGTAAATGATTATTGATGATTTTATCTGGAAAAGAATTTCAAATACAACGCTCTACTTTTAATTAGTGGTAACTGGTGATATTAGTCAATCCTAAAAATAAATGAAAATTATTGAAGGCCGAAATCATCATTATCTGAGTTGTTTAATGATACGCCAACATTTCGTTTTGATTCTGTATTTTATGTTTGTTTTTATTGTGATGAACCTCTTCTGATAAGTAATCCTCTTGGGAATGGAAATGTAGATACGGCAAAGTATTAAACACGTTTCGTCAGTAATGGAATGAGGATTACATGAAATTACTGTTTACTAAATCACTACATCAAGTGCTCAATCTGTAGGGATCAGGATCAGGCGAGAAGGGATCGAGCCCTGGCTCGGCAGCAATTAAAGAATAAATCTGAGTGCTAAGGGACTGTGTTTAAAGAATTTACATCGAAATGAAAATAGTAAGAATTGAACCTATTAAATTTATAATGATAAGGGCTTCATTTCCAATGCACCGGATAACTGTGTTGGCGGTCATTTGCAGATCATCAGCCATCACCAGCGAGCACCTAAGGTAGGGCGGGGCACAAAGGTCTAATTTAATTTTCATAGCAATTATATTCTGAACAAAAATCACATATCAAACAAACAACTATCTTTATATGTTCAACAAACTCCTTGCTGATTCATCATTGCAGAAATGTGTTTCTTTCGCTGTTTTCCAAAAATTTGTGATTTTTTTTTATCCTATAGGTGGGATAAATTGGAACGGGCAGGGGCCAAACAATTGCATATAATATTTACTTGTGATTTAAGCTATGTATGGCATGATATTTAACGTTATCTATAGAGATGATTATATTACATATTATATATATATATTAAATATTAGATGAATATTTATTTTTAATAGAAAAATATTTTATACTTACGTAATGATGGATCTATCATAAATGGAATTACACCATTTGGCCATAGAGCTGCCCTATTTAATATAGCAGATTTGCCCTAGAATAATCAAAGTACAGAAATATTTATACACCTATTACGGTCATGAACTAAAAACATAATTAAATGTATATTTTCTGTAATATTTTTAATGAAACAATTGATAAAAATGGTTAACGTATAGATGCAATAAACAGCTTTATTATTAATCACCATTAATACCATTTTCTTCGTGCTTTGATCAATCATTGAATTTAATAAACATTGGAACATATGGAAGTACTAGTGCAATTTAGATTTTATTCTTAATTGATCATACAGGAGATATATTAATTTTAAATTTGCTTTTTGAAAAATTGCAATTTTATATAATAGAATTTGTTTAAATGAGGCATGAGTAAAATCTTTTGCCAAAGGCGGAAGAACGAATTAGCTGATATAAATGTTTCAAAACCTTCAAAAGTTGATAAAAACATGCATAAAATAAAATATAAGTAGTCAAATATGATAATTTGATCATTTTATAAATATAGTGAAAAACAAAACATTTTCCTTGTTTTCCTCAAAATGTATAAGAGCCTAAAAGAGTCTCAACTACACATACTTTAATGCTAAAGTCAAATTAAGGAGTAATTTTTCTTCATAAATGAACATAGATGAAATAAAACTCTAATTTTTTAAGTTGACTAGTTTCTACTTGACATGATTATGACTTAACATAACTATGACCTAAACTCGCATAATTACTATATTTAACCTTATTTTTAAAATTTGTTGAAATAAAAAATTAATATAATTTGAAGATAAAAGACAAATAGTTAATTTAGTGAATTTGTTTTTTTACATTTTACCTCATTTTGATCGGTACTTAGAAACGGTTTTCATTTTTAGCGTCGTTTTTTAAACTTTTCAAGATTGTCAGATGATAAATTATTTCTTACAATCAGTAAATAAAATAATATATCAAGAATAACATTCTTCAGTTTAATAAAATCTAACAATTTTATAGACGTCAATTCTCAATTCGTTTTCGAGTGCACCGCAAAAAACATTCGATTTCTCCATATGGGTCGTAGTGGTGATTAATTGTTGGCAAATACAGGTCCAACCGTTTCCGATATATAAAATACAAATAATGAAAGTTACACTATTTATAATTATCTATTTGAAAGTATTCGTAAGGAAGTTCCAGAGATTTGCCTTAAGACACGATGCCATGCACTAGTTAACTTTCCGTAGTGTAAGTTGTAGTATTAATGGGCAGAAAATCGAGAATGAAAGTTTTTTCATATCTTCACGTTTTAGAAGTTTTTGAACATTTTGAGAGAGAAAGTCAGAGAAAATGATAGGGAGATGTGCTGATTAGTTTTTGGCGAAGACAGGACCCGCCGTTACGTAGATACGGAGCAGAGTGCATAAAATAGAGATTGAGCTTTTGAGAGAACGGAGTATTCGATTTAAATGATCCAAAAAACAATTTATAATGATTGGGAGAAGAGGTTATTAGTTTTTGGCAAAGACAGGTCCAGCCATTTTGAAGATACAGAGTTAATTGTATGAAAAATGGCAGTTTTTGAAAGAATTAAGCGTCTGATTCGAATGATTGATAAAACTTCCTGTTGCTGATTGCGCTGACGAAACAATTTCTTTTGGAAAAAAATCATTTTAATTTTTTTTTTCAAACATTTTTTATGCTTATCGAAAATAATTCAGATTTTAATTTCAATTTTGGTTAAAGTTCTAAAACCCACTTATATATACTTTAAATAAATAATTTTAACTTTGCAATTCAGTTCATTAAATTCGTATAAATATTAGACAATGTTGCAGTATTTATAATAATCTATTTGAAATCATTTAATATTCCTCGAATATTTCGTTACGATGCGAGAAGTTTTATCAATTTGCCTTAAGACACGCAGCCATACACCACTAGTTTCTCTTTCTGATCAGAAATTAATAGTGACTTTTAAAAACTTAATTATTTGAACAAAAAATATGATAGGACTAATTCAACCAGAAGCTCTTGCAAAAAGTGAGGTATTTAATTACACATAATACATTTTATTTTATTAAATACTCACTCATTTATCATATTAACATATGTATTCCATATAACCATTGGTATTAATTGCAAATTAAGTAAATATTTGAATAACGATATTGTTATGCAATAAAATCAATAGATTTTGACGCAAAAGATACGTGTTATCACGAATATCGAACGGGCTTTGTATAATTTAATGGATGAAATGTGTAGCTCGTAAAGGTTGGAAAACAAGGCATGGCTATTAGTTATCATTCATCAAAAATTTCATGATTAAAGCAGTAAAATTTATTGCACGAACAGTAAATGTAAATAGGGAATCATAATTGGTAATGTAATAGCTTTTATTGTTCCCTAATAAATAAATGAACAAAAATGAGTGTGAATAATGATCGAAAAATTATATGACTACTACATACAGTTCCTGCTTGAATATGGCTTAAAAATGGAAGTGCTAATAATATTCATAATTAACCCTTTCCACTCGCAAAAATCGAGATTTTTTGCCGCCGGAGCGGTTAACATAAACTATTTTGCAATACCATTTTATGGGACCCCCCATTAAAAAAATGTTCGCAAGTCATCAAAAGTTGGCGCATTTACTTATCATGATTGTGAAATGGTGAAATACTTGATAATTTTGTCATGTTAGTCAATTGTTAATTTAGTAATGCTTGGCATCGTGCCTTAAGACAAATTGCTGGAACTTTCAGTAACAGAATTAAATATTCAAGGAAAAAAATCAATATTCAACAAATATTGATCAAAGATAATAATAATAATTGTTTTAAATAATTTCAAATAGATAATTACAATATATTTTATAATTCATATATTATACAATTACGATCCTGTTAAAAATGTTTACATTAACGAGATGCTGAATGACTTCATCTGAGGGTATATTTCTTACAATAATGCATATGGGATAAATATTTTAAACTAAATTGCAAATTCAAAATTTATATTTGAAGTATAAAACCTTGTATATTTTTGACAATTTAAAAAAAAAATATTCTGAAAATTTTGAAAAAAAAAAATTATTCTGAAAATTTTGAAATTTGTTTGAACCATATAATTAATACTTTAAAAATTAAAAATTAAAAATCTTGGGACGCAACCCAACACATTTTAACAAAATTAGTACTCATTTTAAAAGCACTATAAAATATCTGATAAATTGATGTGCATATGTCTAATGATCATTTTAATGGGTAATTGTGTTATTATTTTTTACAGCGGTTCTAGAAGTATTACTCGTAGTTGAAGTTCATAGTTTTCTAAAAGCGAGAGATAATTTAATTTATGGTTGAATTTAATTGTTTCACACTTTCTATAATTGCAAATATATATTTATTATTATATTTTTGTGCACATAATAATTCAGGATAGTAACAAAATAAATGACTTACATTATATATCATATCGCCTTCTGCTTTATCATTTTGGTAAAGAGCATTTCTTGCTAAAATTTCTTCCGTATCATTTAACTTTTTAGTACAAAAGGTTCCATCGTAATTGCAAATGGTCTCTTGAATAGGTGCTGATAAAACATTTTCAGATGATATACTAATAATAAATAATATTGACAAAAACAGCATCATCTTCAAAAGTTCACTGAAAGTTCTACTAAAAACTAAAATAATTTTTGTGACGTTTATAATGAAATACTAAAAACGTATGGATAAAAAAGCTACAATTCAACATTTTATATGTATAAAATCATTGCCATATTTGAGCTCATTGGGCAATTAGTAAATAATTCGGTTTCATATTGTTTATAATATACTTAAGATTTTTCGCTATTTCCTAATATTTAATAAATTGTTCAAACGTACTTTATTCTAAACAAGAATAATCATTTAGTTGAGAAAGGTTAGTACAGAAAATGAGTCAAGGTTGAGATAAGGGCCAAATGAAAATTTGAACATGGTTTAAGTTATCACCTTAACATACTTACGTGCTCCATGATCTATTATGTTTTGAGTTATGAATATGGTCAATTTATTTTAATGGCACTTAATAAAAAAGTTTTTAATTTAGTAATAATCTTTGTTTTTAACTTCCCGAAGAATTTTATGTTTTCATAAAAAAAAATCCGATTCGCTAATTTTATGTTTTCTCGCTGTTTCATGCCATTCTGAATCAAATGAGACCAAATTTGGAAAAAGTATGTGTGTGTGTGAACAGATTTTTGCCGTGAATCGGCGATTTCTCAAAAACGGCTGGACCGATTTCAAAAATTTAAAAGCCATTCGATGTATCTTGATGAGGACTAGCGTTTCTGAGTTTTGTGCGGCGATCGACCGAGCCGTTTCTTTATAAATTGCAGAAAAGTGAAAAAAAAATCGTCTGCGTTTTAGCCGCAATTCTGAATCGATTTTGAAAATTCAAGAACGTTCGAAAGATATTGGTTGGAATCGTGCTGATTAGTTTTTGGTAAAGATCGTCCGGGCTGTTTTCTTGTAATAAAGTTTTTAAAAAAAAAATTCGACGTTTTTTATGATTTTTTTGATGGCAGATACCACAGTCTTGTAGATCAATATTACGGCTCTACGACAAGTCGTTAATTTTAAAAATTATTCAAAATTTGCAAAAATTGGTATCTTTTTTTTGGCATTTGTCAAAAAACTAGACCTTTCATCGACGTTTTCTCAAAAACGCCTGGACCAATTTCAGAAATTTAAAAGCCATTCGATGTATTTCGATGAGGACTATCGTTTGTCCTATGTATTTCGATGAGAACTATCGTTTTGTGCGACGATCTGCCAAGCCGTTTCTTTGTAATTTGAAAAAAAGTGTTAAACTTTTCGTCCCCATTCAAGCTCATACTACCGAATCGATTTTAAAAAATCAAACTGTTCGAAAGATATTAGTTGGGGGTAAAAATCTACCGAGCCAATTTTAATGGAACTTTTTTGGCGATATATATTATGGTCTTATAGAACTTACTGATATATTACGGCCTTACGACAAGTAGTTTAATTTTAAAATTTATTAAAGTTGAGAAAATGAGTAGATTTTGACGTTTCTTAAAATTAAAATTAGATGATTTAGTAACTAGTAAAATTTAGTTAGTATAACGATAGAGTACTTGGTCTTGAACATAGTAAACCATTGAAGTCCTACGGAAACTGATTCAATTATGAAAATTGATTTTTGAAAATTGCTTTTAGAAAATACACGAGTTAACGTGTTCGTTCGTTCGTTTTTTATGATATGTAATAAATCCACTCGGAATACTTTTAATCACTCATAAATTAATTTATTTTTATTGATTATGTCAATTTTTTACACCTAAGATCGGGAAGTTCATGTAACTTGTCTCAAAGCAAAATACCAATACAAACTAGTTTGTAGTTTTTGTATTCATTCAATGATTTATGTGGTTTATTTAGCATTTTATTTCTTTTTTATGATATCAATTATTTTGAGATTTTTATTATACATTTTTACTAACTTTTTCCACAATATGTTTTATTTACAATATCATATTTTTGTTGATTATTTTATATAAAATTATTATTTTAAACATAAACGTAACCGAAACCGAAACCGAAAACGTAAAGAAAAGTCTGTAAAAATTTGCTAATATTGTTACAAAGACATTAATATTATAGATTCGATTGAATTATTAATTTTAATTAATATTAAATATTAAATTGCAAAATTTAATCATACAGTATTAAAATTCCATTATATTCAAAATGATGCATAATGTTATGTGTCGACTATCACATGAAGAAATACTATCTTCATTTTCTTATGTAGATAAAAACGATGCATTAGGAGATAAAATATCCAATTTCAGTTTTCCCGGTACGTGTCGCCTCATTTTCTATCTTATTTTTCTCATATGTACTTCCAATAATTGAAATACATATGCGAGAAATCATTCTTATAGATGAAATCTATGCTACGGCACACGTAGACCAAATCTACTCTACGTCGTAGACAGTAAAGAATTGATGAGGTGCGCAAAAGCTGTAAGGTGATATATCAGATGTATATGTAAAAGACAGAGATCGGAAACATTTTAAATATATTACAAAATTTTGGAAAATGAATCTTAAATCAAACATCAAATCTTAAGTGAAACTGGAAAGTATACATAAATTTATATATCATAATGAAACCCAAATATACTTTTTAAATTATTTTATTCTTATTCTTCATTATTAAACTTCCTGAAGGAGATGTTTTTCATAAAAAAAATCCAATTTGCTAATTTTATTTTTTCTCGACGTTTCAAATAATTCTGAATCGAATGAGACCAAATTTGGAAAAAGTATTTGTGTGAACAGATTTTGGACCTTTTGTCGATATTTTTTTTAAAAACGGCTGGGCCGAATTAAAAAATTTAAAAGCCATTCGATGTAACTCGATAAGCGTTTGTCAGTTTTCAACTTGACCCTAATCCTTCCTTTTCTATCTGATTGCGTGACTATTCAATTTCAAGTGGTTTTCAAGTGGTTAGAGTATGCGGACACCAACGATCGTTGGTGTGGCAGAAGACAGTATATCGAGCGACTTGTAATGGATAACACAAAATGCTAATTTTGATTTCCATATTTTAAATTTTAAATTATAACACACTGATGATGAGACAAACCTAGTATCGAAACGTTTGTAAAAATTATTATTTAATAAATTAGTGCGAAAAAGAGTGTTGTTTGTTCATATTTTCAAATTAATATATATATATATATATATATATATATATATTAAAAAATCGACAAAAGTATGATGCAAGTTTAAATGAAAATGATCTTAATCAGGATCCATAATTTGATACAAATGCATTTCTAGTTTTTCAGCAGCTCTATATTATAATATTTGTTTTTTTTTTGACATAATAAAGAAGAATCCTTGCTGAACAATAAAAGCCCCAAAATTTTACTAAACCTATTAACTTCTATCATATGCATTTCATTACATCTTCAACAAAATGATTCAATATTGAAAATAAATTAAAATACCAAATATGAAAATATTATCTGGAAACAACTGCTCCTTCAATATGTAATATATAATCAATTGCATCACTGGTTAATGCAATTATTTAATTTTACGTTGAAAACTTGTTAATTTGGATATCAAAGGAATTATAAATTTTGATTATAATTTAATAATGATATTGTGTGTGCTTCCAATGGAAGCACACCACATTTAAATTAAAATATAATTATTTATAATTATATTTGTTGTAATCGATCATTTTATTTTCATATGTTATATTTATCAGTGTCTTTATATTAGCTCTTTGTACCTTAATATAAAGTGTTAAAAATAGATGATGTATTTTTATTTTTGTCAATTTTAATTTTCTGAATAGGTGTTCAAATTTGCTTCTCATTAGTGCATAAAAGTTTTTCATGTGTAAAATGTAGAGAACTAATTTATAGTTTTGTTAAACATGTGAATTTGAGTTTGTTAATTGAGTCGCATATAAATGCAAAGTCAACAGAGCTATTAATTTGATCTATTATAATCAACTTATAACGAATAACTCTATTCAGAGTTTAAAATCAATATGTGCTTTAACTTTCTTTGCTTAAGTTTTGCTTTACATTTGAAATACGTAACCTAACATACATAAAAGTGGTATATAATTATATATATATATATATATATATATATATATATATATATATATATATATACCTTAGCTATATCTTATTTTACCTCATTTAAAAACTTATATCTGGTTTCTATATATACATACAACCCATTTTTTTTACTTTTTTATCGACAACCCCCATTTTAATGCGGAGTTGACAAAATATATACTTCAATTCTCTATTTCATAATAGTAATTTCAGTAATTAAATAATTTTTCATCACGCTTAGTGAGTGTTTTGTTTACTGAATTTTAATTGACTTTTTTCTGAGCATATGATAAAGCATTTATTTTACCTAAACAATTTATTTTATCAAGGGTTGATCGCCCTTTTCATTGCACAAATATTTCCCGATTCGCACAATCAGTACACAGTTTATAAATAATTTGCATAATAGCCCCGAATACGCATTCAAGGTTACTATAATTCATAATGGGCTGTAACTTGGCAAAATTGTTTAAAAAACAATTATAAAAAAAATCACTAGTTCTCATCAATCCGATGCAAGATAAAAAAAATGGCACACGGTGAAAGGTCAAGGAAATGACCCTTTTGCGATTTTTAGCCAAATGGTCAATTTTATCGCAAAATTACCTGACTGTGGGAATAATAATTTTCAAATGTTTCTACATCTGTTTCCTGTTGTTTTTCTTGATCTTTTCTTATTCTCTTTCTTCTTTTTTTCTTCTTCTTCTTCACTTGAGTATAAGCTTTTCCTGGTTTAAAAAATTAATAATTTAAATTTAAAACGGCGTCTCTGAGCAAAAAAGTATTGATGCATTTTATGATCAATATGATAATTTTATGCTCTACAATATTGTCTCCGGTAATTTTGCGATAAAACTAAAAATTTAGCTAAAAATTGCAAGATGGTATCTTTTTTATCTCTGACCTTGTGCCATTTTTTAGCTCGCATCGCATCGAGGAAGACTTTTGAGAATTTTTTTATAATTGTGTTTTTAACAATTTTGCCAAGTTACAGCCCATTATGAATTATAGTAACATTCACCCTAATTTTAGGTTTAAATTGACAGGGCTATAAAGAGTAATTTTTGTAAAAAAATAGAGATTGAATATTAAAATTTCAAGATACAACAGTTTTTGATAGAAAAATTTCTATTTTTTTCAATCCGATGAAGTATAATAAATCTTAGATCTCGAATTATTTATAACGCTGTAACATTAAATGAATGACATTTTTGAACTCAACTGAAAATAAAGTGACTCTTTATACCATTAAAACTAATTTTATGAAAAATTCCTTAATTCATTTTCCTTAACTTCAAATCAAACCTTGATGTTCATTGCTGGCCAATAACTAATAATCAATATTTGTATGTGATTATAGATCATAATACAACTACAATTAACGCAAAAGAAATATTTAATTTTATTTGAAAATGGCATTTACTCTATTGTTTTCATAATATTTGCTAAAAACAAAAAATATAATCTGGCTTGAAGGACTATATTCTTAAAACTTGCGATAAACCAGAACCAAATATAATTCTGGTCAGTAAAAATTATATTTATATTTTTTATTCAATATTATAAAATTTCAAACTTCTTTTGTTTCCATAGACAATACTTTGAATGTAAACTTTTGATCCGGAAAAATGAAACTATTCTTAGATTAAAAACATTAGATCCTAAACTAAAAATATTTGTTTTTGTTCAGGATAGAAGATCAAAAAGTAAATTTATATTTATATAAATATTGAATTTATGGCTTACAATATTTCAAAAACTGCTTGAGTTTAATCAAACCTTTATAAAACTGCTTGGTCATTTGAATAAATCAGTTTACTAACGTTACGAAATATAGCATAAAACCATAATCCGTACATGAATAGAATTTGAAAATCTTTGTATCACGTTCGGTTTCTGAGTGTTATAAGCCTAAACCGTGGCAGAAATCCAGGCTGAATTTAATAAACCAAACCATACCGAACCATATATTATTATGCAAGCCTATTACGTTATACGTTCTCGATTCTCTGACGAGTTATGAATAATTGAAACCCTTCTATATGGTCCGTAATACGAAATTTGTTGTTATCCAAACGCGCTTTGCTCATATGAAACATGTTGTTTTAGTAACCGTCATATATTTTAGTGCGTATTAAAACAATATTTGGCTGAGGTCGTGCTCTGATTATTATGTAAAAGTGGGTTACAGTGGGTTGCTAACAATTCAAACAGAATGCTTTCGCCGTTTGGCGTTCGACGTGTGCGGCGGTTTAAGCCCCATATAGAAGTACGCCTAAAATTTAACAGACCTTGAGAATAACTCGTGGTGTATGGTATTCTTCCTTAAAAAATATTTCTGCAAATTCTTGTTTTTAAAGAAAATGTTTCATTTTTGACACAATCTTTGCCAACTTTTATTATTTTGATGTTTCTTTAATTGACGGATTTTCATAAATTTCGTGATTTTGGATATGGATTCAAATAATATCAAGCAAATATTTTGCTTTATTAAATTCGATGTCCTTTAGTAATTAACTTCCCGAAGGAGAAAATTATGTTTTTGTCAAAAAATCCGATTTGCTAATTTTGTCTTCTCGACGTTTCAAGTCATTCTGAATCGAATGAGACCTAATTTTGCCAAATTATGTGTGTTAACCAATTTTTGACCTTTCGTCGAAATTTTCTCAAAACCGCTAAATAATAAACTCCATTAGTTTGTCTATATTTTGTCAATACAATCAATTTTAATGTTATTTTTGTTTTTTTGACGTTTCAAGTCATTCTGAACGACGTGAGACCAAATTTGGAAAATGTATGTGTGTGTGTGAACCGATTTATGACCTTTCGTTGTCGACGTTTTCTCAAAAACGATCAGCTAAGTCGTTTCTTTGTAAATAGCCAAAAAGTTAAACATTTTTCGTCCACGTTTTAGCCCACAATTCGGAATCGATTACAAAATTTCAAAAACTGATATTGGTTGGGAGAGATACTAATTAGTTTTTGTAAAAATTTGCTGGCACAAGTTCTTGTAATTAAGTGTTGATTTTTTTTATTCAATTAAACTTTTCATTTTGATAGATGTCATAGTCTCCAAGAACATACAAAAATTTTACAGTCTTGAGGCAAGCAATTTAATTTTAAAAATTAATCAAAATTTTGAAAAATATTAGTCAAAATTTGTATAAAAAGTTGCTTTTATGATGTGAAGAGTCAAACATTGTAAATTCATTAAAATTTGGAATATAATTAGGTCTGTGCAATATAAATAATATAATTACAGAGAATAAAAATGTGTTTGAGAAAATTCAATTGGAAATCGCAATGTTTAGATTTAATTGAAAGTAAAAACTTCATTTTCAAATACTCAGTTGAAATTTTTATATAAATATCTAAATCTTAATTTTGGTCGATTTATAAGTCAATTATGGAAGTTCATGCAATATTCCTTAAGGCTGAATGCCACTTTCAACTAGTTTCTTATTCTCACGAAATCCATATTGTGAGCAAGAACTATAAAGTTCTCGAAGGAGATGTTTACATTTTTGGCCAGAAAATCTGATTTGCTGATTTTGTTTTCTCCACATTTAGTCATTTTGAATGAAATATGAACAAATGTCAAGAAAGTGTGTGTGTGTATATATGAGCTTATATTTTTAAATCTTTTGTCCACGTATTCTGATAAACGAGAGCACCGATATCAAAAATTCTTCATTTAGTATATGTCAGAAATATATTTTGAAAAATCTTTGAAGTGCGACAAATTTAATTTTTGATCTCATTGTTAGTAAGAAAGATTCAAAGTAAAGTTAAATCTTACGCAGAGCAGAAAAGTGAATTTGGAAAATTACCTATTGGAAACATGACCATTTTTAATCCGTTAAATTGACCTAAAATCATATTGTTGAAATTTCTATAATATGAAAATTTATCGCGTCTACTATGTTAAAAATCTATATTTGATCATTATATTTGATATATAGATATTTTAGCAAATTTCTATTGTTTCTCAAACTGCTGTACCTGCTTGCTTTTCTTTCACCAATATATGAAAATATTAACTGAACTTCTTTTAAATCTGAATCTTTTAAATTGATCAAGCCATTCCGTATATAGAAACATCTTCAATTCCAAAATGAAGCTAAAGTAAATTAATATTTTATATACAAACAAGATTTTGATAAAATTTTCTAAGCTTTTAAAATGTAAACTAATTTTTTTACCTTAATGATAAAGATTATAATACTTGATTAAACAGTTCAATCTACAAAATTTTCCGCGAGTGTGAATTTAAAAATATACCTGAACCTAACATTTTTATCAATTTAGAATTTAATTAAATTCAAGAAATCGATAGATAAATTAATCAATTACTTTTCCAATTTAAAACGCTTTTTTAATTGTACAATGTATAATTGTACTCTAAAGAACATTTCGTATAATGGAACGATTTAATGAAATCATTGTTTTTTTTTTAAATTAGTTTTCTATGGTATTAAAACTGTTCGAAATGTATTGATAATTGAATTCACGATGATATTGCTACAGCATATTTCCTTATTGTAGGAAAATTCAGATCCATGCTTTTTATTATCGATTTTTAAGAAAGATTTTTTATTACTCTTTTTTAATCATTCATAATTATCATACATTTTTTAAATCTCCCGGGCTTTCGTATTGTTACTTTTTTATTGAAATAAATTATATCTTATTCGAATAGCAATTTTAAACAGATT